CGATTTGCACAACTCTAGTTTCACTCGCGTAATTTTGCCGAATTGTCGAACAAACACTTTTTACTTTTTATTTATTTATTTTTTTTATTCTTTCTTAAACCGAACTATTTATTTCACCAAATATTTATCTATTTTCTAAACTCTATTGTAGTGCAATTATCAGCGACTAATGTGCACTATTTGGTTCCACATTTTAAGCGGTGTCGGCCCACACTGATTGCTTGTCATTGTGACTTCTGCTATGCGCTGTCAAACTTGCAGCAATTTGGGCGTGTTTGTAGCACCGTTACACAGCACAGCTGATTTCGCTTAAATGTTCCACTCGTAGCTGGCAATCACTGTTGTTTTTGCAAAAATTTTATCTAATAATGCCTGCAATAACACGTACACAATTCACGCTTTGCTTTGCTTCATTTCGGTTGTTAATTACATAAAGCAAATACAATAAACAACGTCATGTATGAATCGTTTTTTTGTTTTTTTAACACAAATTCCATTTAGTAGCACCCAGCTGCTCTGGCGAACGACGTACGACGCGACAGCGTAGTGTCATTTACGAAAGACGCTGTTAGACTAGTTTCCAAATCACGCCGTCGCTTATGCATTCATTTTTTCTTGCCTTCGTTACCCCCTCGTGCGAGCCAAAAGCCATATCTACCGTTTTGTGTGAACCTCACAGCAATGTAGTCCAAATCAGCGTTAGCGACCTCTTGCTTAACGCTCTGTAGTCAACGTATCCATCGTTGTTGTTGGAGTTTTGTTACTTGCCGCTCTCAACTCGCTCTCGTCGGCGGCATTCGTGTTACGTTCGTGAAATGGGTGTGCGTCTAAGTGTCATACGCGCCATAGCACTGTCCATGATGGCTGTGCAAGATTTCAGGTCCTAAGCTCTTGCTCTCTACTCAACACATGACACGAGTGCATATATCAGTTATTGTCCTTAAGGGACTAAAAAGCCTTCCGCTCTCAAAAGCTTACTCTCACCTATTTGCATTCTACATAACCTAACTTTTTCGTGTGCCTTGTACCTGCAAATCAGCTGTGGATAACTGTTATAATTTCACTTGCAGCATATTGGTTCATATTGTATATGGTGCTTAGTTCTGCAGCCTTCCATGCTTGCCACCGATTTGATTATTTAGCTTTGAGTTTATATTTCTCGCGCGTCAGGTATGCGTGCTCAGTCTGTAAGGCATTCTCTCATGCAACTCTCTTCCCGCTATTCGAGTAGTTTCTCAGTTGTTCGTCGTTTCTTGCGAAAATTGCTTTCGTGACTTTCATTTGTAATTTCGTTTTAAATATGCTGTTATAAAATTATTTTACTTGTATGTGTGTGTGAACTATATAGTTTGTGCATTTAATTCGGTATCTTGTTAAATATTATGATCCATTGTAGAGCACATTATTTTCTATGTATATTATATTTTTGTGTTTAAAGCTTACTTAAGCCGGAAAAGAAAATAGCAGTCATATTTGTATTTATAATACTGGCTTTATCAATTCAAATTAAAGAATACTTGGTGTAAACTTTTCTAATATTTCAAAGCATTTTATTACCATTAGTAAGTGAGTTTCGTCTATTTTCACACTCTCTCTGTCTCTCTCTCTCTCTCCCTCTCTGTCATTTCAACTTATTTCTCTCCGAACTGTCCGCAGTTTCACACTCGTGAGTAGCGTACTTCGTAGATACCTCGAAACTGTTTCAGTTGAGGCCTGTATAAGAGAAAATTTCCCTCTCCTAAAAATATTTATATTCCCATATTTTTTTATGTATATTTTTTTTTAATAGAAAGCGGTTCATACATATTCTCATATCTTAACTTTAGCAACATCATTTTCTTTAAGAAAGTAGTCTTCTTCCCCTTTCATATATAATAAAACCTGTTCGGCTCAGTATTTTAAAAACCATACTAATCTCAAAAGCAATCTGCTTAAGCAATCTAAGTTTAAGGCTCATGTACTAAAATTTGCATAAAATTGTTCTGACATTTTTCTGATTTTTTATTGCGGTTTTTGTAGGTTTGTGCCATCCGTTTGGTCGCCAAACCAGTTATGGAAATACGAAAATCGCTAGAAACAATATACAATGAAATTTTTGAAAGGGCTGACAGATGGATTAAAGTGAGATGGACTGCCTTCGGAGCATACAGGAACGCCAAGTTCATGTGCAAGGAAGCGAAAGCAAACTTTCTACTCACAAGATCTCGAAAAGATTGCAGGATGGTGGTTGGCGTAGTCATAGGCCACGACTTACCGTTCGCACGACAGTCGGGTTTAAGTAATCGGAATGGATCCGGATTTCTATTCGGTCAAGCACTGCCAAGTCGGCAATATTCCTCGAAACTACTTCAGGAATGTGTTCTGCCGCTACAACAACAATTTACTGGCATCACATGCGAGCCGTATTGCCCATACGTTAAGGATGACACATGGAGAAAGTGCAGTAAAGTAGGCATGAGAGAGACGCTGGAACGCCTCCTCTGCTTGTGTCCTACTTTATCAAGAAGTTGTCTTAGATATTTAGGTGCTTCGTAGTTTAAGGGGCTGATTAAAGCGTCGGAATAAGATATCAAGTCTCTAAACTTCGCAAAAAGCTTGGAGGTCCTGCACGATGTTTACTTGAGCTTATCTTGTCAAGAGCCAATATCTTTACTTAGTCTCATTAAAATGAACATCAGCCTTAAATTTACTATGCAATAAATTCGAAGCTTAAGAGTTAAAAAACAAAACAAAAAATATTAAAAAAATATGTGTATATTGTAGACATTTTCTTTTTTTTGCATTCTAAAAATGCAAAAATTATTGTTAAAAAAATTTTTAAAGTAAAAAAAGAAATTTTTTTGTGATTACCAAATTCACCACAGCTGTTCTAGTTCATTCTAGCTCACCAATGACAACTGTTATAAACTAAAAGTGGTGAATAACACGCACATATACATACATTATGCCAGCTCAGCATACATACATATAACTTTGAGCACGGTTTGTCGCCAAGTCGCTGCATTCCGGGGCCAACAACATTATTGCCGCCATCAGCGCTAACCGTACCAACACTTAACTAATTCACCACAATTAAATTATTCGCCTTATTTTGGGCTGCGTGCTAGGCTTGTGGAATCGCTGAAAACCCAAAAAACAACAACAAAGCAGCAGCAAAAAGCTACATACGCCGCTTCGCTTTGCAAATTCGCAAAGTAAAGAAAACTAATAAGCAGCCGGCAATAATAGCAATGAATCAGTATTTATCATGTCAACAACAAACATTTATTGGTAGCGTAGATGTGACTAAACAAATACGAGTACGAGTGCTTGAAAATGTGTTTGCCGCAACACGCTGTATACGAAAGTACATCTGTAAACAATACTTGCGATATTTCCGGATGCTTGTATAGCAAATTTATGCGTGAGTGTGCAACACACACACCAACATACACTGGTCTACGCCTGTGATTGTTATACCCTGAGCAGGGTATATTAACTTTGCCACGAAGTTTGTAACACACAGAAGGAACCGTCGGAGACCCAACAAAATTTATACATAAATGATCAGCATGATGAGCTGCATTGATTTAGCCATGTCCGTCTGTCTTTCCGACTGTCCGTCCGTCTGTCTGTCTGTATATATACAAACTAGTACCTCGGTTTTTAAGCTATCGCTCTGAAATTATACACCTGTCCTTTTCTCACTAAGTAGCTACTGATTTGTTGGAACGGCCGATATCGGACCACTATAGCATATAGCTGTCAAGCAAACTTAACAATCGGAATCAAGTACTTGTATGGTAAGCTTTTTTATTTGACGTAATATCTTCATGAAATTTGCTGTGGATTATTAGTTAAGACAATAATGCAATCTCCGTAAAAATTGTTAAGATCGGATCTCTATATCATATAGCTGCCATACAAATTGAACGATCGGAATAAAGTTTTTGTAAGGAACCTTTGTATATGTGAAGGTTATAATAGCTTCGGTGCAACCGAAGTTAACGTTTTTTCTAGTATTTTGTTTATTTTTTGTGCACATACATTGATATAATATGCTCCCCGTGCACCTTGCAGCCTCAGGCTTATATTCTAGATCATCCCCTTTCGCCGGTGAAGGCAAATGAAACCAAATATCGCACACATTTTCCTGATACAACTTCAAATCAACGCGATTGTCAGTGGGGGCAAACAAATCCATCGTCCCAAAAGTGTTTGCTGCTCTTGGTAATCTATATATGTACAAACGTTTAGCGGGTGGCAACCATTCCACTTCCGTGCGTTCGTGCATTCGTAGTACATCTGCACGTCAATCCATCCATACGTTTCGGTGTCTACGCCGAATAACGGTGACACAGTTGGGACCATTTCCATCTGCAAATTGCCTTCGCCTACACAATAATATCTCCGAATGTAACCCGAAAAGGGACGCGCTAGACAGGCGCTACACCCGACCGCACGGCAGCTTGATGACTCTGTACGAAGCTGCCGTCCCGCAGGCAATCAGTAGCAATTTCGCCAAGAAAAGTCAACGTGTGCAAAAAGCGTAAAAATCGTCAAAGTCGAGGCCCAACAACAATAGCAGCAGCAACCACAGCCAGAGCAGCGGCCGCAACTCCGGCATCACAACAGTTTTGCCGAGAATATCGATTTGTTTCGATTGACAAAATTCGTGAGCTGCACAAACACACACTCACGCACAAAAATAAAAGCATACAGCATGTGCGTGAAGCCATAAGTTGTCGTAGCTTCGTCGAGCGTATGCGTGCCACACGACTGCGTCTTTTATCTCTGACGGCGTTGCGTATCGCAATCAGCATTTTGCTAACCCAAAAATGCACAACAACAACAAGAACACGAGGCATGTACGTTCAATACAAGCTGCCAAGCTAGAGACATATAAATCTATGTTTGCCTGTAGACATGTAGCCAGTAAGTTTGTAGTGCCGTGCTGTCGTCGGCTCCATTTTAACAACAACTAAAATAGTAGCCAAATAAAAATAAATAAGAATTGCATATATTGAAAATGTAATTCGTTTATTTGTACAGCTTCATGCTACGATAGCGTCGTCGTTGGTTTTGTTGCTTTAGTACAAGTGTTTCTTTCACAGACCTTGAGGGTCAGTTAAATCGATTTCATGCGATGATTTTTGAATGCATTCATTTTCAATATCTGTGCACAAAAATAAGGAGAAACACTGAAAAAAGGCATTTTTATTTTTAGCAGATGTAGGGATACTTATAAACAGGGTGTTTAATTAGGAGTTTCACTGCGTATTCAGTTATAGAAATTCGGTGCGTAATTTTACACTTTTTCTTTTTCTCCAACAATAAATATTCATGAATCACATACAAGTATTAAACACGTTTCTTTGATTTCTTTAGAGTGACAGGTATCTCGTTGAGCTTTAGTTTGGAGTTAACTAAAATATTTTCATAAATTTATACGCTCAAAAAGGTTATATTAAGTTTGCTACAAAGTTTGTAACACTCATAAGGTTAAAATTTATATAGAAATGCCTGTCCGTCTATATGTATATGTCTGCCCTTAGCTTTTAGACATCGCTCTGAAACTTTGCACACGCCCTTTTCTTCCCTATTAGCTGCTCAACTCATGTGCTTGTATGGAAAACCTTTTGATTTGAAGAGCTATCTCCATGAAGTTTGGCATGGTTCATTTCCTAAAGCAGGCATGTTCTAATTTCCAAAGAAATTCTGCAGATTGAACTTCTATCGCATTTGCAACATTTTTTGACGGGAAAAAAAAAAATTTTTTGCATTAAGAAGAATCATAACGCTATTGCGCATGCGCCGATAGATTAGCGCAGGGTTGCACCACAAATGTTGCACGTTTCTTTGAGCACCTCGTATAGTTTGTTCGATTCGCCACTCTCCAATGCTTGTCGAAAAGCAGACAGCTTTTTTAACAAAGCGATTTTTGCTGTCGTGCTTCCATATGATCAACTTTAGTATTGTATACTATTAACATACCCGCTATCTACTGCTTGTTCAACAGCCTGAAATAACTTCGAATTGTTTTATTTACATTTTCCAAAAGATAAAAAAAAACACGAAAAACAAATATTTGCATTTACAAAATTTAGATGAGAAATATAAGTGGTTGCGCTCATTCGTTTGTAGACTACAAAGAAAATAATAAACATGCATAAATCAAACAATCCGATATACAATATATTGATGGTATTTTGAAAGGATAAATAAGAGTCCGAAAATAGTAAATATTTTTCGCAAAAATACACATGATTGATTTGCAAATATTACAAATAGCAAATATCGAAATGCTTGTAATAATTTTCGGGTATACTTTTATACTTTGATGAGTGCTGGCATAGACATATGTCCATTACATGAGTTTTGGCTAATAAGATTGACAATTGTAATATTAGAAATATTAATAATTACAAATTGAGGGTTTTAGTTGCAAAGTATTTTCACAAATTAGTTGTCGATGTGGCAAAACAATGGCGTAAATAATAATAAACTATATCCTTTTTTAATGTCAGCTATTGCAATCTTATATTCTAATAGACATGACTGCATTCAGAGCAAATTTTGGTTAGCAGGAGCCATTTAATTAGCTTAAGTATCAAAACTGTTTTCGATACGACCAATATTGTATAGTAGCAAATCGAACAAACCAAAACAGCTGTTCAATTAAAGAAATAATGTATTTTATTTTAAAACTCACGCAAATACATTATGCTTTATTCTTTGTAGTAGCAAATATACTTTTCAACTACATACTCGTATATATGTATAGCGCTAATAAAGAAAATTTATAATGCAAAATATTAGATATAACCTTTATACACAAAATGTAGATATACGGCTGTGCTTAAATTTGTTTAGAACTCTCATTAAAATTAAGTAATTTATAAACTCTCACTAAGAGCTTACATGATTTAAATAACATTAGTTGCAATATATTTAAGTACGTATATAATTAAGTATATGCATAATTAAATTGACATACATAAATACGTTGTGTGTGTGTGTGTTAATTTTAATTACAGTTCATTATCATAGGTGGTTTTCGTTTGCCTTTGTAGGATTAAATTTAAAGTTGCGGCTGCAGATCTGGTCCTGCACTAACAATAATATATATATATATATATATATATATATATATTTATATATATACATAAACACAAATATACACATATACACATATAGATTACTTACACTATAATATAATATAATATTATATATGTATACATATGCATTTTGTATTATTAACAACATTTGTACACCTCCACGTATACGTAACCCAATAATTACACTACATATATTAATATACAACATATAATCTATGTGTGTGTGCGTGTAAAATCAATCAGAACGCAATATGTATACGCTTATGTAATTACCATGAATTTCCGTTAGTCGCTATATGATTAGTGTCTCTATACATATAGACATATATAGGTCTATGTTAATTCAACTCATACAAAATTAATTTGAGTTTTAGGCTGTCAAAATGAATTAACTTGAAAAGATTTAAATAATTCAATGTGGTTTCTTTATAAATTTTAGCTTTAATTTCAGCAAAAACAAAAATGTATACCAGTAAGCTTCAATTCTGTGATCATTATAGTTGCATTAACAACTTAAGTTACGTTTGAAAATTTTCAAATATCGATTTTTATGATTTTTTTTCGTATTGAATAGTACAATATATTTCAAATATTCTTCCAAAAAAAATCAATCCGAGTAAACTACAAAGAAATAGACCCTTCGGAGTTTCCGCTCATCGGGCCAGGTCAGTACAGCGCTTCGCACTTAAATGCGTGTAGCTTAAAGCTGTATTTTTTTAATCGGTAAATACGATTTCTCGAAAAGTTATGCAGTGATTTGGGTACAATTTTGCCCACATCTATAAAATAACATTATCTAGTTATTAAATTTTTTATTACAACTAATTTTTTCGAGCCAATAAATGTCGAAAATGTTAGTAAAAAAATTTATTTTATGTTCAAAATCTGTCAAAAACTCCAATTTTAATTATTTTCCTTCATTAAATAACGATATTTATACATGTAAGAAAATATTTTCGGTTACTAAAATCACATGAACCAATAATCAGTTATGTTGTCCGCGACAAAAATATTTGTTTTTGTTTTTGAGACGTCAAGGGAGATAGGGTACCAACGGCTGAGTTTTCGAAGTTTTTAGACAAAAATTACACAAAATACCGCTGGATAGCCTCTCCAGGACAAAACTACTGTATTTATTGCTCTAAAGGCTATATATATAGACATTTTAATAATACTCAGTAAAATTGTTGAAGAAAAAAAGACAAAAATAAAGCATCTGTTGCAGTGATTCCGGCCACCTCCGTGAATGAAACCCAAAAAAAATTCTCTGCTATAAGATATTTCCCATACAATGACGATCGAAAAAAAAAATTAACAAGAAAAAACGTTAATTTCGGATGCATCGAAGCTATAGTACCCTTCCCCAAATACAAAGATACCTAACAAAAACATGATTCCAATCGTTCAGTTTGTATGGCTGAAAAATTTCTTCGTAGAAGACAGTGTTGCCTTAAACCATAACTCATGTCTGATTTAGTCGCGTTTTTGTGTGCTCTTCGATTTTTGACTTTTGAAAAAAATAAATCAAAGAATATCTATTAAAGTTGGCGTTAAAAATGGAATAAAGTGCTACAAGACACTTGAAATGTTGGCTGTGGTATTCAGCGAGTCCGCTTTGTCTCAAAAAAGTGCTTATAAGTGTTGGCCCAAGTGTATTTTATCCGATGGGAATTACTTTGAAGAAAGGCAAAATAGATATGGATGAATTTGAAGTACTTTTCAAAAAAATTAAAAATCACACCGTTTTCTTTGAACATGCAGAAATTTTTTGTAAATATAGTGATTGGATCGAGCAGTTTCCGACTAGTTATACAAGCAAATTTGAGTAATGTAGTTTTTTGTAAGACTCGTTGGGGGATAGACTGATTGAGCTGGTTGAACTGAGCGGCTACACTTTAGAAGCCCATAATTCATAAAGTATTTGAGATAACGCACTAAAATTTTAGTATGTTGTTTTTAAAAGTATAGTAATAGATTTTTTTTTTTATTTTAATACTAGAGTGGAAATTTTTCAACCAAAAACTACATAGAAATGCCTTACTAAATCACATAGGCTCTCCTCACTCGCAATCCACAACTGAACCCAACTGACTTGTTTAAGTCTAAAATGAACAGTCTTCAGGTCTTCGTAAAAAGATTTTGTAAATTTCATTAAATAAATTTTAATTGTTTCCGAGTTTTCCTTTAAACTTATAAAAACGTTCATGCATACATCACTATTTATTTGCACAGTTGTATGTATTATAAAACATAATTAAAGGACAAAATATGTTTTTTACAAATTTTCTTAACAATTCACCCCAGCCAAATGTCTGTTTCGTCGCCACTACCACGTGTCATTATTGCAGCCAACTTCCATGACTTCAAAACAATCACTTTACTTACACAAATACAACACGGCATGCTGCTCGTTCGTTTGTGTGGGTGTGTGTGTGTGTGTGTGTATTTGTTTGCGTGAAGTCAATTTCGTGTGGGTGGGAGTGTGCGTGCGCAAGCGGAAAGATACAGCAAATTAATTACGGCAAGAGCCGTATACAACAACAACAACCCATCACAACAATAACAACAACAGCTAGCAGCAGCTACAACATTAACCACTAAAGGCTATAACACTTTGTTGCAATTGCGACAGCAGCAACACCCAAACACAATGCGAACGCAAACAACAGCAACAACAAAGGAAATAAAGCAAAAACAAATTATTGTTAGGCCCATTTCGTGCAATTGTACGTTCGTGCGGTGGTGCAGCGCTCCTTGCGCCCGCATTGTTTGAACCTAATATCCTTTCGTTTGCATTGTTATTGTCTGCAACTTCCTCCAACGTTTCCGCGCTGCCACAATGTTGCAGTATTGTTGCTGTTGCTATTTTGTTTACCTTTTTTTGTTTTGTTTTCTTACGCCATTGTTATCACTTTGTATCGGCCATACGGCGTACGTGTGTGTATGTGTGTTTTGCCTGCGAAATTCGCTCTTGCCACTTGCCAATTTACTTGCCGCTGCGCCCTTTCTTACGCGCCGTTGTTGCGTTTTTTGTCTTCGCCAAGTTATGTGCGTACAATTGTATATATATATATGTGTGTGTGTTAGCGAATGGTTTGTGCCGCATGTTGCTCCTTCATCGCCAATGCCGCTATTGTTTTTGTTGCTACAATTGGTTTTGTGTTGTCATTGTTGTTTACCACTGCCGCTTGTTTCCTTTGCACGTTGCACGCTTTGCTTTGCCTTGTATTCACTTGTTTCACTCGTCCCGACTTTTGGCATTATTGTTTTT